ATTACGCTTCACGTAATAATTATCCGTAACTTCTATTCTTTCCCGCTTCACAGCATTATTTATATTTGTTATCGGTAGTGTGAGATTCTCCCCCCCCTCTTTTCTTTATGTTCCATATTTTGTACGGGAAAGACTGGATCGGGACTACGTTAGCATCACTTCAATACAGTCCATGCTGCGTCTCATGACGCCTGCCGCTGTTCTACTGATTCCTCTTTGAAATCTTATCTACCAGAAGGCACCGCGCGTAAGCAGCAATTTTATTCCAGTCTTCTTTTCTCGGTATCTCTCGGTTCACTAGGCTCTCAGGATGAAGTGCTTTGCCAATAATTACTTCGGTGTTTGCTCTGAGATTTTTCCAGCATTCGCACTCAGACAATATGTGCTGGGCGTCATCAGCTTTTTCCGACTATTATTTGCACATTGGTGGATGGAGTAGGCCCACGTCATTCATGTTTACTTGATCTGTTTATACTATACCACTTCCCGAATAGGCGTATTATTCTAGGACACTTGCGTTTGCTCGTGACCTTTAATCCTTCAAATTTCAGTAGCTATTCAAACAACTAACTAACACCACTCGGAACCTAGTGGATGATCTTATTTTTTGTGATGTTTTCATATATGTCCAACGGTGATTGACGTGGTTTTTCAAGATTAAGAGCTGATTAGTTTTTGGAAGTGATCGGTGAAGCCATTTAAGAGATTTTTTGAAAAAATATTTTTTTTGAAATTTTTCGTTTTCGATAACTCACGAACGAATCAACTGATTTTGACAGGACTGGCGGCGATCGACGCAGTTTTTTGATGTTAAGAGCTGATTTCTTTTTGGAATTGATCGGTAAAGCCGTTTAAAAGTTATTCCAAAAAAACCACTTTTCAAAAAATTTTTTTTTGTAGTTTTTTTGCAATTTCTAAAAATCTAGAGAACTGAATCGATTCAAATTTTCACGAAATTTAATGGCTATGATACTCTTTGGATCGCCACCAATTTCGATCCGATCGGCCAAGCCGTTCAAAAGTTATTCATCATCATCCTCATCATCATCATCATCATCATCATCCTCATCATCATCATCATCATCATCATCCTCATCATCATCATCATCATCATCATCCTCATCATCATCATCATCATCATCATCCTCATCATCATCATCATCATCATCATCCTCATCATCATCATCATCATCATCATCCTCATCATCATCATCATCATCATCATCCTCATCATCATCATCATCATCATCATCCTCATCATCATCATCATCATCATCATCCTCATCATCATCATCATCATCATCATCCTCATCATCATCATCATCATCATCATCCTCATCATCATCATCATCATCATCATCCTCATCATCATCATCATCATCATCATCCTCATCATCATCATCATCATCATCATCCTCATCATCATCATCATCATCATCATCCTCATCATCATCATCATCATCATCATCCTCATCATCATCATCATCATCATCATCCTCATCATCATCATCATCATCATCATCCTCATCATCATCATCATCATCATCATCCTCATCATCATCATCATCATCATCATCCTCATCATCATCATCATCATCATCATCCTCATCATCATCATCATCATCATCATCCTCATCATCATCATCATCATCATCATCCTCATCATCATCATCATCATCATCATCCTCATCATCATCATCATCATCATCATCCTCATCATCATCATCATCATCATCATCCTCATCATCATCATCATCATCATCATCCTCATCATCATCATCATCATCATCATCCTCATCATCATCATCATCATCATCATCCTCATCATCATCATCATCATCATCATCCTCATCATCATCATCATCATCATCATCCTCATCATCATCATCATCATCATCATCCTCATCATCATCATCATCATCATCATCCTCATCATCATCATCATCATCATCATCCTCATCATCATCATCATCATCATCATCCTCATCATCATCATCATCATCATCATCCTCATCATCATCATCATCATCATCATCCTCATCATCATCATCATCATCATCATCCTCATCATCATCATCATCATCATCATCCTCATCATCATCATCATCATCATCATCCTCATCATCATCATCATCATCATCATCCTCATCATCATCATCATCATCATCATCATTATTATCATTATTATTATTTTGTTATTCTAAGGCGAATACTCCCGATCCAATGTTCTTGAATAATGACTAATTTTTGATTATTACTTCTTCACCATAATATTTTTATTGGTATGAGGTCTCATACCATCAGAGAAAATTTAGGTGAAATTCACAATTAAAATTGGTAGTTACGGACAGTGTTCAGATAGCTTAAATGGTAGAGGATTTGGCGCGTAACCGAAAGATCCAGGTTCGAGTCCTGGTCTGAGCTGTCTGAATTATTTTTTCAGTTATTGAAAAAAGTTACACTGAGTAAAAACTAACATCTTCTCCAACAATAATTGTCGATAAACAAATTTTAATTGTGAATTTCACCTAAATTTTCTCTGATGGTATGAGACCTCATACCAATAAAAATATTATGGTGAAGAAGTAATAATCAAAAATTAGTCATTCTTCAACAACATTGGATCGGGAGTATTCGGCTTAGAATAACAAATTAATGAAAACCGATCTTCGAATCAAATATATATACATGTATGTATGTACATATATATATATATATATCCAAGTTCATCCAATGGTTTCTCCAAGATCTCCTTAACCAGCGACCTACCTGGCCTATTTTAATTGCATGGTGACCGCTAAAACCTGGAGCTGCTGCGAGAAAACCGTACGGTAGGTTGTAGCGTTATGATGTTGGTTCCGCAAATCTACTGTGTCGTTTTACTTTGTCAGCTCGTGATAACTCGTACAGCCCCAAGTAGTTTTCTTTCCGGCGTCGTTGATTGAATTTATTTTGAATAAAATCAAAATGAATTACTTGTTTTGAAAATACACACGTTGGAAAATCTTAATTAAACAATTGCTTCGTTTCACAAGAAAACGAAACGAGAACCAGGATGTTAACCTCTGATGTTTGTCCAGTGTGATGAATTTAACACTTGTCGTGGCCGTATTACGCAACATAGATTGAGTTAAGCTAATGCTAACGCGGTTCCGACTCAGTCTTTCCTGTACGAAGCGCATGTGAGAACGGGTTGTGGTTGGAAATCCCATACTACCGACAAAATCATCTTTCAGTGCCTTTGAAAGATTATTTCTCTCGTTAAAAATCGAAAAATATAAAAAAAATGAAAAAAAGTCCTCGTAGGAACAATCAGAATAGCTCCGTAGGATCTCAAAACGCCAAGATCTGATGAGAACTCGATTTTCGGAAACCGTGGTGAAACCATTAACTTCCCGATGTGTTAAAAACCATTGATTTTCATGAGTGGAAAGTGAAAATTCTTTTTTTTTTTTAATTTTTTTGTCATATCAACCGCGAAAGTTGGATTTTCGAGCATCATACAGAGGGCGCAAAAATACGATTTCTGGCAATCTATAGTTTCGTTAATTCATCTCGCACTAGGATAAAAAAGTAACTTTTATCTTTCTATCTGTCTCTACATTTCTGCACGGCTACACTAAAATACGCTATAGATGAGTCGAATTATCTTTTAATTAGACAAACGTCCGCTGGGTGGAGTGAAAATCGCAAAAAATAATCTTTGTGACAGTCGAATCTTGTAAACGACTTCAACATATACATGTGCATTTATACTGAAATCCAACTTCCGCAATTGTTATGACAAAAAATTTTGTTCAGTACTTTATGCTCAGAGGTAGGGACCCTGACAAACTTGAAGTGAAGGCACACGTTTGAGACTATGGATACATTTCCAAGACCTCGTACTATATCCGGACTCGCTACGCTCGTCCGGATAAATAGCTCGGTCTTGATTAGAATGCACCCATAGCCTGAAACTCGTGACGTCACTTCAAGTCGTCAGAATCCCTACCTTTGCACATATGTATCGAAAATAACTATTTCTTTAATTTCGTGGAATTAAGTAAAAAATTTCGCGTTGATATTTACGTTAACCAAAGCTTACTTGTCTCGAAAAGTATGGAGAAGCAATTTCTGAGAAACGTGTAAATCGAAGACGACATTGAAATTTTAAAGATTCAATGGGGCAAATATCTTTGAAAATTTAATTAAAAGTTGATCAGAAGAATCACGTAATGCAGTAACGGAATCGTGATTGGAGTGATTTAATATTGTTTTCATATAACCTGCATTGAAAATGCGAGTTTCAATGCCTGTTGAGCCAACCGTAACTAGATAATTTCAGACCAATGCGATTGTGCCGGGCAGGAATCAATTTTTACTTCCCGCTGGACAGAATTTGACGAATTCCTGCCCGCGAGATGAAGTTGCAGCTTTATTTTCAATCTTATCAATTGTTTGTTTATTTTATACCTTTATAATTGTGATTCTAACCGTAAACTGTACTGACATAATATAATTCTGTTATTAAGCATAAATAAGAATGACAAAATAAAACTATTCAATTTACGAATAATGTTTGATAAAAAATAAACTATTACATTCTATTTTATTATAAATTTTATAATAAAATGGTATTTTCGCTATTCGTCTGAAACTATCTAGTTCTGGTTGACTCCAGACATTGAAACTAGCATTTCTAATGCAACTTATATGAAAAATATAATGTGTAACGCGGGATGAAACACGATTTCAGACCGAGTGATGCCAGCCCTCGCTTCGCTCGGGCAGGCAACTTCACTCTGGTCTGAAATCGTTTTGTTTCATCCCTAGTCACACAATATACTATTTTTTTTTAATTTCTCGAGGTCATTAAAAAAATTATTTTTTCTCAAATATTTTTCAAAAAACAAAACAATTAGTATGAGATGATTAAATTAATTTAATTGAAAGAAAAAATTGGTAAATTAGAAAAGTTAGTTAGAATGAAGAACCTACATCTGAGTTTGTAAATATTGCATTCAAATCAAAACCATTCATGCTTTTTAGATCTTGGGATTGAGATTAATTTTTCGGCTCATTTCGCGGTATGTAGTGTACAAAATTATATTTTTATCGTGGATCGTTTGATGATCAATCCAGCCCAAGATATTTTTTAGTAAAATTTAAAGCTAATCAACTTTCTTACCTAGGCAAACTGCATGAGCTACATAATGCTAGGATGGAAACGTTGGCTTTATACCCACGACAGTAAAATGGTAAACATCAATAGCATTTTATCATGAATAATCTTACCTCATATATATTTAAATAATTCTTATCAAATCAATTTTTCATTTAGTCTGTAGTCTCTGTTGAAATTTATTGACTACATTATTTATTAATACATTTCGTTACCCAATTTTTGGGAAAAATTCATTCACAGGATGTGGAAACCTCGGTACATCTGATGAATCGTCAACTACACTTTTCTGCTGGGGGATGCTTTCATATTAATTTACCGCTATTTCATTCGGTAAGTTATTCCAACATAATAAAAAAATTAGATATTATTTGAGAGTTAAAGAATATATAAAATAATCTAGCAGTTCCCGTCCACTTCTCTGGGCGAATTGTTAAAGAAAATCAACTTAATTTTATGTTTCATTTTTATTATTTTTATTCATATTTTTATTATTTTCCTTGTTTTTTTTTGTATGAACATAAATATGCCCTGTGGATAGAATTGTAAGCATCGATATTGTTTTGACTTCCACAGATTCCAAATTCCATCGAATTAGCCTGTATCTTTTATCCATGTGATTTTTTTAGGTAATATCCAATGTAACTTGCAATGTGCAATCAGTATAACATTTCTGTGGCTTTCTTACAAAAATTAATAATCATTGACATGAAGAAAAAAGTTTGAAATGAGCATTTAACGTTTCAGTTGAAGTAATTGTAGGTGTCATAAGTGAAGTTAAAATCTACCCAGCTTTAAGTGCAACGAATTTTTCTGTTATTTAAAATTGTCTCGGTGACATAAATTTTTATAGAAAATTAATTGTACATGTTTTTGACGAATTCTATTAAAATAAGTAGCCAAATTTCTTTTCCACTTATCAAGTATTCGGAAAATATATTCATTATATCCCCGCGATCCCGCAATAAGAACAATTCATCGGTTATGTGATTAGCAAAAATAACATGTATTTAAAATTCTTAGTCCGTTGACTGAATAATCTGAATAACATGTAATGTTAAGTTTTGGCAACCTCATAATGACTTTTTCCCTGCTGCCAAAGACGATTGTTATAAGAAAATTTTTAGCAAGCGTTATTAAAGCTTAATAGACATGTCCTAAATTTCATGTCTCAAGAAGTCCTAGTTTATAAACAACAACATTGTTTCCTATTCTACTCATCACTCTGACACAACTTGCATATAAAGTCAATTATTGCGAGATTCGTTTTTAGTTGACATCTAATTATCAAGAAAGAAAAATATTTAAGTCGGTTGACTCTGGAGGTCATCCCGGGAATTCCCTGTTTCTCTTGAGGTTCCTACAAATTTTATGTCTGTAGGAACTGTATTTAAAGAATATAAATTTTTTTTGACAATTGACACCCCCAGACTCCAATATGGGAAAAGAATTTCGGAAGATCCTATTTGAGATGATTTCTACATCACAAATCAAAAATTCCTTCAAAACTTCTAGTCCATAGCAACTATCGTTTGGAAATGAAAATTTTTCATTGTTAACGCCCCCGCAAAGCCTTTTGGGATTGGAATTTTATAAAGTCCGTTCTTAGCTGAGTTTGACATCAGATACGAAGGTTCCTAAAAATTTTGAAGTCTGTAGAAGTTGAAGTTTGCAAATTGAAATTTTACATTCTAACATTCAAATTTAATCTAAAATTAAAACTAAAGTTAAATCTAAAATAAAATTATAATTGTTATTTTATAAATAAGATTTTGATGTACACCTACACCTAAGATTATTACTTTGTATTAAATTTTAAGTAAAAATTTATAAAACTATGTACAAACCTTTGCCATTCGGCTAATTGCCTTGGCATATTAAATAAATACATACATACATATATTCACCGCCGGTATTTAGAGTCTGTAGAAGCTATAGTTCTAAATTAAGATTTTTGAAGAAAAACTTCTTCAGGCGCATGAGGGTAAAATTTTTACAAATGAAGCGCAATAATAATAATATGAGCGTCACAAAGATATGAGCGAACGTCGCATTACGCACCGTGCCATGGAGCGAGAGGTGGGAGAGAACTAATGAGAAAGATTGAGAGAGAGTAAGGGAGATCGAGAAAAAATACACGCTATTAGTTGATGTATTCGTTTAGTAGATAAATATTAGAACTTTAGATGGCAATCATCAATAATTGATGTATAATAATTCTAATACACCAACTAGAAATTTAGGAACGAAAATAGATCCTATTTTTACAAGATATTTGAAAATAGATAGTGTGAAACACGAACTTAAATTGCATATTTTAGTAATTATAATGCTTTGATCACAACAATACCAATAGCAATCGCATCAAATAATATAAAAAGCTAAAGTCACGTAAGTCATACAAATACATACATTTTATCGCTTTCGTTTTGGAACATTTTTCTGCCTTTTGTGCCCTCGGGCTTTTTCTGTTACAGATACTGTTGCAAGCGCAATTTTGGAATCTTTCAAGGTTACAGAAAAGCCCTGATATTACTTTATTGGAAACAGAGATATAAATTTTAATATATCTGCTCTACTCCAATTGAGGTTATTGTATCTTATCAAGCCGTGAACATAGGCGGATAGCATCAAGGCGGGACTATAGCCAAGTCACCAAAGTCCACCACCACTCTTACACTGTGCAGTTTAAATTATCGAAATAGTTATAACAGTGCTCAACAGGTGTCACCACTTACTCAAAATAAAACAAATCAAAACAAAACAAATGGTGTTGTTTACAAATTTGACCGCTCCGTTATTTAGATATTGTGTCAGATAAATCTCAGGTTGTGTATTTTTGTTACGGACATCTGTAAAACGTGCAAATTATCCTACCATCCTAGTTGTGCTAAAGAAGTTGTGAAAAAGAAATTACCAAACTATTAAATTCCTGATGGCGCCTAATAAGGTAAAAGTCCATATTATGGAACACTGTCCTGGTTTATGAAACATTCGATAAAAATCTCTAGAACAAATAATTTTTAACTTATTTGGTACTTATAAAATAATATTTATGATTGTTAATAACTAATATATTGATTAAATTAATTTATTTTCATGAATACTTTAAAATAAAGAGAAAAAAAAATATATTGAATGTCCGCGTCAGGTTGCATGAAAAAAAACTGTTTTTTGGAGTAAAATAGTCACGTGTGTCAATGCAATTATTTCAAGTTTTTGAGAAATATATCAATGATTAAATAATACTTGAAACATGTCAACTAAAAGTTTAGCTTATTATCTTCCTATTGATAATGAATTTTAGGTAGTTTAATAAAGTATTTACTTTTATTTTAAGTGTTTCATAATAGGTACAAAAATTCTTTAATAGTCCGTATTTATGGAACAGTATATTCCGTGTTCCATGTCCCACGTACGTTCATTTTTCAATGTGGTCCGTAATTATGAAACAGTGACTCGTAAGAGCATTATTTATTTAATTTCGTGTTAATAATTGTTAATTATTTATAAAAAAAGCAGTTTATGTCAGATAAATGTTACTACAGTGTATATTTCTATAAATTTGTATTAGGTAAGTACTTAAATTTGAAAATTCTATCAAAATTAAAAACTAACCTCTAAAATTTGTAAGTTGGATAATAAATATTGTTTAAGTTAATATAATTAATAATTTTTTATTTCAGGTAAGAATTTAAATTGAGTAAATATGGGAAAAACTACAAAAAAATGCCAAAAAAATAAATCAAGCAAAAAAAAATAAAATTAAATCTGTGAATCTAAGTGTAAACAACAGTTCCAAGGCTCCAAAAACGGCTGTTGTCTTAGTTAATACGTGTAAAAAGGTTTCAAAAAAAAAATAAATCTACGCGTATAAATTATTCTCCTGATGATTTAGCTAATGTTTTGAAAGCTGTCGACACAGGTGTTTCACTGAGAAAAGCTGCTGCAGTGTACGGAGTTCCTATAGCTACACTCTTTAGAAAAAAAGGGAACCCTGAAATATCCAAACAAAAAACTGGACCAGCAACTGTTTCTTCTGGTACCGAAGAACAAAAAATAGTTGATTGGATTCTTTTTAGAGCTCAGCGTGGTTTACCAGTAACTAAAACAGAGCTCTTAGATTCTATTTAACAATATGTGAAAAAGTCAAAAAAAGAAACTCCGTTTATTGATAGTCGGCCGAGCCGACATTAGTATGAGGGCTTTCGAAAACGACACCCTCAAATGTCAATCAGGAAACCACAACATCTGACTCATAGTAGAGCAGCAGTAACCGGTGATGACCTGAAAGATTGGTTTGATGAACAAGCTAAGTATTTAACTGAAAAAAAATTAATGGAGATTCCTTGTACGAGAATTTTCAACTGTGACGAGACTTATGTAAGTTTATGCCCTCCATCTGAAAAAGTATTGTTAGCTAAAGGATCCCGTTCTGCATATAAGGTGGTTGATTCTGATAAAGAAGGATTTACTGTACTGTTTATGTATAGTGCTAATGGTGATCGTGCACCTCCCATGATCATGTTTCCTTATAAAGAAGAAGTACCAGAGAAAATTGTCAAAAATTGTCCTGAAGGTTGGGATGTTGGGCTCTCAGATAATGGGTGGATGACCTCAGAGTCATTCTATGAAAATATAACAAATATATTTTACCCATGGCTAGTGAAACAAGGAACTCAGTTTCCAATCGTGTTATATTTGGATAATCATTCATCACATATGACTATGCCTCTGGTTACATTTTGTCGTGAAAAGGGTATTGAGTTGATTGGACTTCTTCCCAACTCAACCCATATAATGCAACCACTTGACATTAGTTTTTTTCATCCATTTAAAGAGACATGGAAAAAATCTGTACCAAGATGGAAAAATTCTAAAAATGTTTCCCGAGTGAAAAAAGAAGATTTTCCATTAGTTCTAAAGTTTGCATTGGATGCTACGGCACAAGAAAAAAATGCTGTTATCAGTGGATTTAAAGCTGCGGGCTTGTATCTTTTCGATCCTTCTGCCGTTGACTATGATGTATTTGATAAAAGAAAGAAATCTAAAATAACAGTAACTAAAGAAAATGTACAAGATGAAGTAACAGAAGATAAGGAAAAACATCTATTAACCTTCGAATCCAATTTATCAAAGGATATTCTGGAAGAATTTAATACTGCTTGGTTAAATCAGACATTGCCCAAGGATCTAGAAATTAGAGGCTTGTATAAATACTGGCTTGATGTCAGTGGAAAATATGGTAAAGAAATTAATAACATCTTATTTTAATCATTATTTGTGCGGTATACATTAAAATTTTTATAAATAGCTAAATTTTAAATGAATTAATTTTTCTATGTTGATTTTTAACTTCCCGCTAAAAATCTCAGATTTTCAAAAATCGGGAAGTTATTGGTTTTACCCCGTTTTGCAAAAATCGAGTTTTCATCAGATCTCGACGTTTGAAGGTCACAGGAAGCTTCCCTGACTATCCCCGCAAGGTTGTCATGGTGTCTGAATGTATGTGTGTGTGTGTGTGTGTGTGTGTGTGTGTGTGTGTGTGAAAGTATGTGAACCACTTATAACTTTTAAACGGCTTGACCGATTTAATCGCGGTTGGCGCCATTCGAAAGGGCATGACCAAACTTAGATTTCCTGAAAATTTGAACCGATTCGGACCAGTAGATTTTGAGAAATTTCAAAAAAACTACAAAAAAAAATTTTTTGAAAAGTGGTTTTTTTGGAATAACTTTTAAACGGCTGTACCGATCAATTCCAAAAACTAATCAGCTCTCAACCTCAAAAAACCACGTCGATCGCCACCAATTTGGTCAAAATCGGTTGATTCGTTCGAGAGATAGCGTGAACAAATGAAAACCGAAAAAAGTGTTTTTTCGGAATTACTCTGAAATTTTCGGTTCGAATAATTAAAACCTGAAAATAACTTATGAGGATGATAAAACTGCGTCGAATGCCGCCAACCACGTGAAAATCGGTTGATCCATTCAAAAGTTATTGCGATTCGAAAATTAAAAAAATAGTGTTTTATCAAAAACTTCTATCAAACTTTTGAGCTCGAAGAGCTCAAAAGCATACAAAAGCTATTTTTTGAGCTCGGAGAGCTCAAAATAATACACAAATTGTATTTATGAGCTCGAAGAGCTCTAAAACGTCATAAGTGCAATTTCAAACGTTCAGGTAAAGAATTGGCGGGAAGTTGCAGGGATCGCCTTTAGGGTGAACCGTTTTTCTAATTTTTTTTTTAATTTT